TGTCCATAGGGCGAGAGGCAGGATACACACTGGACAGGTCAGCAATCTCTTCCTGGGTTAACACAGAGACGGACAACAATTCATGCTCTCATTCAGACATATGGCATGAGGGGGAATACAAAGTCTTTTCAGCTGCCTTCAGTTGAAAATGGATGAAATAAAGCTTTACATTCACCCTGTACTTCTTCTTTATGAGCCCATCAGACTGTCCTGTAACTTGATGAGTCTCATCTGTCAGAAAATGGACCACAAGAAACCTAATCTTCCTTCCATTCTGGTTTACAGTCTCAGCAGCACAAGAAGCATAGCCACTGGGGATATAGCAACACTACAAAAGATGTGGGAAAACAACAGTTGAGCTAGACTGAAGGCATCCAGGAGTGTACTTAGTTTGATGTTCCTCGACTTTCAGTCTTCATTGGAACAAAGCCTAGTTATATGAAATTCCCCAGCAACATCCCAGCAGCACAGACAGAAGAGTCTGAGAGCATCCTCACAGCTCTTATTAAATCTCCCGAGCTACCAGGCAGAGATGCAGCAGAGGCTCTAATGAAGCAATTACAGGCTTGAGAGGGATGAGTTCCAAGCCCAGGCCAAGACTGCTTTTTACTGCCACTAAAAGCTGACAGCCAGGCACAGAAAAGTGGCGGGGGTGACATTTATTTTCCAAGAAGTGTTAAAATCGGATTAAGAGAGGGGAAAGACTCCCAGGTAAGGGTGAGAACATCGAAATGACCACAAATGAGATATAAACACAGCTAAATGATGGCTACAGAACCTGGGCATCACCTTCTGTTGCACTGTGAGATAATATAGTGCAAGTAACTCTTTATTATGCATTATGTCAACTCATATTTGATGCTAAGCATTCATTGTAGGGAAGTTTTCGCAGCACTTTCCAGTCATCCCTTCATATCTAAGTAGTATAGACAGAGATGTAATCCCTTACTACCTTGCTTTGCTGTCAGTTAACTCAGCAAGGTTTTAATCTCTCAATATACAAGATCTTATGAAGGATTGTGTCTTTATTTATAAAAACCGAGTGATGCAAAGTGGATTTCAGTGTCGGGATGGCTACCAAGCTGCTGTTACTGGAGATACACCCAAGCACACAGATAACATTGTCACAATCCAGCCTGCCATATAGGCTTAAGGGCTTATCAACTCTGCCAGAAATGTCAAACAAGCCTGTGACTGTTGCCTGAAGACACTACACTTTCCTGAGTTTAGATAACATGCACTTACTGAAAAGGTAAATCCCATACCCTTATCCTAATTACAGAGTGGAAAGCAGTCATAGTTGCCTCTAAATAATGGCCATGCCAAATGTGAAGGCAACCTGAATTAAGAAATAAAAACAGAATGGTAAAAAAGTGAGTCAGGAGAATTTGGTATCAGTCAGATTTTTGCTATTGTACACCACCTGCCTAAACACAGAAGGGTGTCCTGTGGTGTTTCGCACTGGGACGTTGGCAGCTGATTATTTCGGTCCTGTAGGTTGTGCAGTGGGGCCTCTGCAGTCAGGTCAAGTCACTGTTATTTATCTAGCACATGTAAAAACAACAGGAGTTGCCCTGAGGTGCTTTCCAGCCGAGGAAAACATATTAACAGTTCAAGTCCCTAAAAATATAAATACAAAGCCCACATAAACAGAAACATGAATACACTGAAAAGCAAAGCAAAAATGTAATAATCATAATATAAAAAAATCTATCAAAAATCAATAAAATAAAAACCTCAGAGTAAAATTATACAAAAGAATACATTTAAAAGAAACAACAGTCATCTAAGGGAGCAAAAAGGAAACATTGACAGGTGGCTGACAAAAGGCAGGCGCCTCAAATTTTACCTGGCTAGATCACTATGGCAACCTGTAGACATGCAAAGCTAGTTATGGTTTTGGGTTTAAAACCAGCTACAAGTGCTATATTTTAACTTGTAATTGTGATTGATGTGCAATATATACATACACCAGCGTCTCCATGAGGTGTTCCTTGTTGGAACATTGTTCACTTGCAGAACACAGGTTCCACAAGATGCCAAAAACATTAATAGGAATCGGAATAATTTTGGCATTTTGCAGTTGCTGGAGATTTGTTCCCTGCCAATCCATGAACTGAATGTGCTGTTTCACCACTTCTCAGAAGTGCTCTATTAGAGAGAGACCTGGTGTCTGTGGAGGCCGTTTGGAGGGCAGCGATGGTTGTATGGGGAAAATCCCAGTAGATCAGCAGCTTGTGAAAAAAACAGACCTGGCCATCTGGCGCCAACAAACATGCCACATTCAGAGTCACGCAAATAATCTTTCTTCCCATTCCCATACTCAGTTCAATCTTCAGTATGAACCTCACCATGTGTACATCTAAATGTTTTGGCTTACTTTCCTATGATTACCTGATGGGGGTTAACAAGCAGTTTACCAGTTTTAACCGGTGAAGTGTGTGGTGAAGACTTCCTCCTGAATGAGTGAATTGTATATATGTAGCCAAGGTTTCTGGCGTATGTGCGACAGACTGAGCATTCCTGGATCCACTGTGGCAAATAAAGGAGGCAAAAAAAGCAAAACAAACAAAGCAAATCGGTGAACCAGGTAGAAATGGGAAGAAAAAAATCTGTAACAAGAAAGCTAATGAGAAAATTTCCCTCTTATATCATCCTCCTACTGTGAAGGTGGTAGGGTCAAATCCCAGAGGAGCTGCCAATGAGCTGCAGTTGTAAACGTGAATGAGTAATGTTCACTGGGTTAGAGTAGCGCTGTAGGGCTATGGGGTTTGATTCACGCGGATGCCAGTCATGCTGAAAATGCATGCACTTCTGCTCCGGCTACAAATGTACTGCCCAAGTAAAAGCAGGCAGGATTGTTGTCATTGTGTGCTAAACTCTGCCAAACACAAAGCAGATGTTCATCACTGACTTTTAATGTTGTGTCTTACAGGCAGAGACACTGGATTGGCTTTGTGGGAACAAACATGATGAGAATGATTAATTACATTTGTGGACATACTCATAATTTAATCAGAAACATATTACAGCAATTTGCCAATTAGTGGAGCTGAACTAT